CATGTTTGAGAAATCTATTAACACAAAAATTGATAGAGCAAATTATATTTCTTTGACCAGGTTCAAAAACGTTGTTTGGACCCGATGAAGGGCTCTAGTGGCATACCCCGTGATCAAAAATCAAAATTTAATCATTATTAATATTTTGAGTACTTTTTAAAGTCATTGGATTGCATGCTTCAAACTTAATTGAAAAAGTTGCTTCATTTTTTAAAAACAGATATAAATTATGATTGGATTATGTCATTTCAACGAATTGTCCGTACGACGAATTGTCCTGCGACGAATTGTTCATGCAACGAATTGTCCGGTCACCATTGTGAATATCATTCGGTACTCTCTGTTAGAACTTCAACATACAGCTATAGATTTATAGGAAATCTACAAAAGTCTATTGATAGTTGCAGTGTCTAAAACCATCTTGTTTAACCTAATGGTGATGTTGGTGTCGACGCAATGTTGGGTCCCATGGCACATGAGATAATGGAAGCAATGTCCGATCCATTGTTGAGTGCATGGTTAGATTCGAATGGTAGTAAAAATGCGGATAAATGGTGAGTACAAATGCAAGCTACTATCAATGAGATGTCAAATACATTATTCTAAAACTTTTATTTCGGGAAAAATCCAGTAAAGAAAAGTTTCTTGTGATAACTAACTTCATGTGCTTCCATGCAACGAAAGCCATGCATGTTGAAAGTGGAATTTAGGAAAGAAGTGTAACGATTACAGTTCAAAAGAACTGCCAGGTCTTGTTCTTCTGACTTCGTTATAATCGTCAAAATTAATGAGCTTTTAGTTAATAGTTCAATACCTATTGATGACTCATCGAGGAGTAACTATTAATCAATAAACTAATTGATTTTTATATGAAGAAGTTCCAATAACTGATGTAGAACTACTATATCAAATAATCGTAGATCAATGGATGATATAGTTATAGATAATACCCATCTATCAACACCTACCTACTTAAACCCACACTTTGTGGCTACCAAGCAGACGCCCTAAGTGCTAGATCATAAGAAATCACTTGAATATTGATCTAGAAAAAAATAAAAAGTGGGGCTTTAACTATAGCACATTTGAGCAGTTTTCAAGTGATCAGCCTATTAGTCTCTGCTTCTTGATGTTATTTTTACTACTAATCTGTTCTCTAGCTATACTGAAGAAGTTAGAAACAAATATTTTGTCCTTGTCGAAATATTGCAGAAGCAATGCACGGGTTTCGTTAGTTTTTATACCATTTTACGATGATATCCCTGCTGTTTCGGGTTGGACTAAATAACCAAGGTTGATGATCCCGACTACTTTTGTCTGCTATTTAAGACCAACCTATTTTCTAGGTATAATGAAAAAATCTCGAAGTAATAGTCAACATTAAATATGAGTACAGATCAGTTTTTCTGAAGTCATATACGGCGACAAAAACCATCTGGATACTGCAGATAATGAAGACAAAATTCCGTGGCATAGCATCGAAATGTATTCAAAATAGCAGGAACATGTTCACTATGTGTCGAGATCTATCGTTTTATGTGGGATCTAGGATACTGGGCCGAATAACAGTTATTGAGCCAATTAGTGATATTGTGCATTCCCATCCTTTTCTTTGAATCCATTTCAAATATTCTTATTTGGTTTTGATTCGAATAAACTATCGTATATCAACACTTGCGATATAGTCAGGATGAGAGCTGTCAGCTGTATGAATTCTGTCTTGCCCTTATGATCAGACTTTTTTTTTCATTCGAACCGTTCATATCTATACATATATGAATCAAAAGAAAACAACCTATCCGTCGGTTTAATTACAAAGGGAATGAAAGTCTGTAGAAACATCATTCGATTATACGGCAACTTTGACGAAATCAAAATTGAATAAAGATGTGTGTTCTTCTAGACGAGTTTGATTCTTCTACCATAGCTAAATATTTTCATCGTAGTATTTGAAACAAAATGTAACACTGATTTCCTAGATTATAACTAGACTATTGATTTATTAAAAATGAATTTGGTTTTGTAATTTTAGTGCCTGGACTTATGGAAGTATATATCAACTTGGAAACGGGGCTTACTTCAATATTTATGCTAGTGGCACATACTATCTCATTCAACAAAATCGGGACGCAAATGTTCAAACATGTGCAATGTCTGCCTAAATTATTTTTTCCAATTCATCCTGAGATAAAAGATGGATTCTTTTCGAATTAATCTGCGCGCTGCAAGTCTAACCTACTGTATTTAAAAAGAAGAAATAGTATTAATCATATTAGAATAATTTTTCTTATTCTTATATATTCACAATGTATTCTTTATAATAAAGAAATTAAATGTATTAACCCGTTAAGTATCAACATTCCAAGTAAGGAACACTTTTCAAATGTGTTAAATTTTGAATAACTTTCGAACGCGAAACGATAGCGAAGTGCGATTTTCGCTATGACATAGAATACATTTCGATACATCCATCCAAGTAAAATTCATAACTACTAATCACCAGTGACACCTATCGTTCAAAACGCGTGCAATTTTGATGTTTTACGTCTAATTTTCGCTTGCATTCTCTAATCATTAATACTATATCAGAAAAGTGTATTGGGTTGATTACGTGTCACAAATAAAAAACCATTTCGCCCTTAAAATACCAAATTTTATTTTAAATCAATCTTGTTTAAATTTTTTTTCATTATTTATGTGAGTTTCGAAAGTTTAATTAAATTCGTTTTTAAAATGAAATGTTTCAATGTATTACACAAGATTAAATGTTACGATTTAAAAAAAATCAATTGTTACAATATACGCATAAAATTAAATTTTACAATATAAAAAACAAAATTTCCAGTTGAGTGCTAACAAAAAAATGCTCAAAAACCAAGAAGAAACTTAAAATCACAATAATAAACTATGCTTCTTCGAATATTGGTTTTAACCATTGAGCAAGATCATTTATAATGCAAATTATTTGCCACTTTACTTTTTCATGATTTATTAGTTGATTGCAGTGTTGATTCATTTAGTTCGTTTTCATCTTCATCATCGCACCAAATTGAAACATTAACCATCACTTTTGATAACTGGCACCGTTCATAAACGTTATCAGAAGAAAGCCGACGGGTATCTAGTGTAGATTGATGATACAGGTCTAGTCTATCGTTTTTCATAGACATACTTTAAAGACAAACTCCGTATGTATCTTAGAATGATTTTTCCTTCTTTCTATACTAGGAAAATATTTTTTCATGTTCGTTTTAAAAGTGATTCTTTGACTGTTGTACAAAAAACATCAAATGAAATACTTTCAGTTTTGATTTCATCAGAGACAAATTTGTTTAATTGCAATACGTTGAAATAATGAACTGTAAAAATTGCCCTGCTCGAAATCGTTTGCAGCAATAAGAAGGCCACCTGCAGTTCATTTAAACGGAACAGATGGCGGTAAAAAAAGCTGAGGAAATATTTTATAAAAATTTAATCTTCACTCACCGCAATAATCTTCTGAATCACAACGAACAATTTTCAATGCATATCCAGATAGTACTACATAACGATCATACCAAAGTTCATCAATACACAAACGTGTTTGAGATGTAAAAAATGAATTTACCTAAGACGCTACCACTGGATAAGAGTCAATAACTGTATTAAATCAAACTTCGATAAGTATTTCCCAGCTGGCTTAAAATATTGTTTTTCTAATTCAAAATCAGTTGTAGTGCCGCTGGCATCAAGATAAGTATCAAAATCATCATGAGGTAAAATTAAACCAGCTAAGTCAAGTGAAAGTGGTGCCATGCGACATTCAACGGCATTAAATGTTGACTGACCATGTGCATGAGCAAGCACAAACAGTGCATCAAGATCATGAATTTTATAAATATCGATAGATAATACAAGTGTTTTTAGAAAACGAGAATTTTCATCGAGTCCACGGTCGACAATAATAATAACAATTGGTTTAACTTTATCTGGAGAGTTCAGTGCAGCTTTTTCAAAATCTTGTAATTCAAGCAATTGATTAAAATCATGCTAGTGGCTATGTACACTCGATTCTACATAGCCACTTTCTTTATTCATACCATTGCGATTAGATATAACGACATGTGACTAATGAAAAAGTTGTTAAAATAATGTTATTTGTAAAAAAGACAAGAAAATATTATTTAGAATAATATTTCGAATTCTATTTATTTACTATCACGTTGTATGAAATAAGTGTTTTCAAAGTGAAAAATCAACAGAAAATAGAGACATTGGGAAACAAATAGCTATTATGTCAATCCCTGTTATTTTAAAATACAAAATAATTGCTATGTTAATAAAAGAGTATGTTTATAAATATATCTTTTGAAAGCTCGAAAAAAATAATATTGAAAAAACCAAAAACTTGAAAAATCGAAATTCGAAAAATCTGAAGCACTTTGAAGCATATGATATCAATAAGATGATTGTTAAACAACATGTGTTTTTGCTAGATATTTTATTTTACGAATTCATGAGAATGAAATAATGAAGTAGAAGAGTCGTAATAAGCAAATATGATTTGCTTATCCCAATTAACACAGACAGCTCCTCTCAAAGATGTCGTCCGCGGCTGAATACTTGCCGCGCTGCGATAATTGTTAAAAAAACGTTTTGAATTTTGAAAGCTGATATTGCTTCGAACTAGAATTGTTGCTACTAATCGATGAAAGTCGTTACGAGTGGACTCTTTATTAACACTGAAAATTGAATTCCTAAATTACACGAGGCTCAATCGTATTATTATTATTATTATTCAAAAATGAACGGAGCAACTTAAAAGCCGCCGCACTCCCTTGCCACCGCTGATTCGTTGAAGCTCTGCTCCGCCACCGCCGTCTTATGAAAAAAAATTTTGAAAGTCGAATCTTTTGAAAATTTTACATTCCAGCGAAAATCTTATGGGGGTGTGAACTTAAATGAGGGAGTACACTGCTACAAGACATGAATTGAAAAAGCTAGGTTTTATCGTTTAGTTAGACATTAAGACTAGGACAAAAGTCCAATCTCATTATTTTGAATTCGGCTCATTTTTTATCTTGTTTCTTATCTCACGCTCTATTGTATGATGTTTTAGATCATTCTGCATTCGCTTGTCAATAAGATATCTTTCTACATTTATAGCGCATGAGATTATCAAAGTATGTGATGATCTATGAGAAAATGGGTATGAATAGGGGTGTGTATAAGCAGAGAGGATCTACAGCCACACTTACTCAACTACACTCCATACTCATACCCATACCCATCTATTCCATCGGCAACAGCCATGGACCGATAACCTTTCAATGAATAATCTATACTGACCCAGGTTCCTTTGTATACTCACAGCATTTCTTCACCTAAGCATATCTCATCAAGATTTTCTCTCAGACCCTCAGACTTTCGTTTTCTTTTCTTGCAGCTAATTGGATTTTAGCATAAAGTTGTTCCCAGGATTCAGATATTTTTTATATTTTGTGAAGGAATGTCCCTCTAAAAATCCGATCAACTCAAGGCATTATCATATTGAATTTCAGTTATTGAAGAAAAGACCCTGCTAAAACCTGATTAGCTAAAAAAAACTTGCTTAAAACTTCATTGGTAACCCAGGAGAGCAAAAGACGGGTAAAAAGACTAGTTATTTTCACCAGTCCTGACGCCCCGTCAGTCATTGGTCTTTTTCTCAAAACGGCCTAGACATGACTAGTCTAATATTATTGGGCGTCCGTACATCGCGTCCTGACTAGCCCGCAGACGGGCGTCAGTATTTCAATACAGTCTAGTCGTTTTTTGTAAAAATGACCAGTCCTGACTAGTAATAGTTGTTGAATTAGACTAGTCTTGTGGAACCACTTTTTAAGGGAATGACTAGTCAAGACATGGCGACATGACGCCAGTCTGTGGCAAAAATATATAGTCTCATACCATCATCTTGCCGTCTCCGAACTAGTCCTGACGGGTCCGTCATGACATCCGTCCCATATATTTAAAAATTGAAGAATATATAATCGCATATCGATCATATTGTTTACCACATGCTACACATTACACAGCTAATAATCATTCGTAACGTCTAGAACCTGTTCTTTTGTCAGTCAGATGTTGGTGTTCAGACTAGTCTAAATTATAGAAGCAAAGTGATGAAGGTTAGATTCGAACATACATACTTTGTGTTACATACCCAGCTTATTAAGCAGTTGAACAATACAAGCTGATGTTTCATTATTGACACACCTAGCTCTTCCTGAAACGTCTTTCACACATTAATGATCGGAGAAGTTCATAATATTATGTAATAAGATTTATTGATATATGTACTTAAAGACTATTCAATGATATATATTAATATGAATCAAAATATATAATTCCTAGTTACAGGAAGTACTATCTCAGAAGAGTAGTTCAAGAAAATTAGATTTTAGAAGTTTTTTAAAGAAGCAATTTATTTTTATTTTTTAACTATTGTCCTTTAAGTTAGGAAATTCCAAAACAGTGACACGATTTCCAGGTTCACATATACAAGCATTTTTTTTCAAGATAAACTTCGGATGTTTCAAATAGAAAATGTTTGATGGCTTTAATCGTAAAATATTAGGTACTTGATATTGATCATTAGAAATATTAAATTTAATTTTTGATGTTCCAGGTTTAATTTCCACAAGTCCTTCGATGAAAAGAGGAATGGTATTTTTTTTTGATTGAACAATAGCTCGAATAAGACCATATTTTACTTCATCATGAATGAAACTAAATGAGATACAGCTGTCAGCAACTAATTTTCCATAAGCAGCCACAGTAGTTTTTATTAAAACACCTGATATTGTCAAAGAGTGATAGAAAATTAAATCATCATTAAATAGTGATTGTACACGTGTGGCTATACCATTTTCACTTGTATCATATAAATCTTTAGATACAGGATTAGATAAAACACATGAATCAACAAATTTTCTATGATGAATATTTAATTGTTTTCGATCAAGTAATTCTTCATTGAATGTAAACAATATCGATGGATAAGATTCATGTTTATGAAGAATCAGAGAATCTCGATATAAAATGTGCTGTCGAATAAGTTGTTTAGCGAATTCAGTTGTACCATGAACTGTGCTAACTAAGTCTTTATCAATACCTATAATAAAAAAACTTTAAAAAAATTTAAATAAAAACTAAAAAGTTATACGATTACCTTCAAATGAAAATGTTGAATAAAACCATAGTGGCCCCATTACACTTAAACCTTGATGTACATGTAACAAAGAATGAATATTTGAACTCATATGACGTAAACCAAATATTTCTTGAAAATGTTGAACAAAATAATGTAATAATTTTTCAACAATTTCAATAGTTTCATCTGTTACATAATTCGAAGATGCAAGATTAATTGCTGTTACCAATGAAAATAATAGATTTTTCAATCGAATATCATTAATATGTCGAACAAGACTTGTTAAACCAAAATGAAATAAACATCGATATTCACTTCCTTTATATTTATTAATAATTTTTAATGAACGAAATCTACGTTGCGTTGTTGATGGTGTTTGTACCAATGTTAACGATTCATCTATATGTGTTATTTTCTCAAATAAAGACCAGGATTCATTTCGGTATGCTGAATGGAATAAAAGATTCAAAAGCTGCTTGAATGCACCAGCATATATTGTATGAAGAGAATCCGTGAGAAAAGATGTTCCATAATGAAAAAATTTTAATTTGACTAATGGGCAAGAACCTGTTAAATAAATAAATAATATATTTTATTTTTTTTTAAACTCAAAGAGTAACGAAAACTATTCATATATTTCTTCTGGATTATATTGTCGAGGGCAAATTGTTAAAGAAACTTTATTTCGTATAAAATTTTATTCGAAAAATAATGATTCAAACGTTTTAAGTTATTAAATCAATATTTTTCATACTATCAAGTTTTTCTTCCAAAGTATTTTTCGATGAAAAACTGATCATAATATTTAATCAACTAATATTGGAGAAAATCTTACCAATATGACCATAATGAGCTATTTTTTTCTTTTTTTTCCTTGTCGTTTTTTTCAGTACAGTTTTCTTCGAAACAGTTTTCTTTTTGATACAGCTTGAATTATTATTGATTTGATTTAAACGATTAGTTAATTGCTCAACGATTTGAGCACATTTTTCTTGTGTACGAAGCTCACATTCAACAAATGGATAAACACGTATTGTAAAGGAAACAGTATTAGCACCAGATCGTCTTTGACCACGATATGATTCACCTATAAAAATAATTTATTTACAACAAATTCTTGAACAATATTAATAACTGAAATTTTTTATTAAGGTTTACTTCAATATAATTTGTAAGGTGATTAATAGAATACAAATGTCAATGAAAATACATACCAGCATGAAAACATTTTGGACATCCATATTCAGCATTATATGGAACGACATTTGCAAGTAATGCTTCAGCTGGTTTATCTGAACAACTTGCTATATTGTAAAAATGAAGAACTGCTCGTTGATCAAGATCGTTTATAAAAAATTCTTGTCCTAGTTCTAATTTAATTAACTGTTCACATATCAGTTGTAAACATCTTTGAACAACATAATTAGTTGGTTTTTTGCCGGTTGGTATGATACCAGCTATAAGTATATTTTCTAAATATCGACGCTCTGGAATTGGTAATTCATTAAATATTATAGTAAATGGCCATAATGATAAATTATTATTTCCAGTAGATACACCATCGAAACTAATCATCAATGTAAACGCATTAGTTTCTATTTCCCGAAGAATTTCTCCATATTTAGTACTGGAGAACAAATTCATATTGTTAATTTTCTCTTCTTTTAATCTACTGAAAAAACCAAACATTGATAATAATTGTTGAATTTGTTGTTTGATAGAACATACATAAAATTTGAATATTATATCATCATTGCAAGATTTACATTTAAAGGTAGAATTTGAATCATATGCACCACAATTGGAACATATTGTGTAAAATTTGTAAAATTTATTTATATCAAAACCTGGATGAAGCTGCTGTTGAATAGCTTTCATACTCTTTGGGAACAAATTTATGGATAAAGCATTAAATAATTTACAAAGTGAATCAATATCTTTATTGTTTTGTAAACGTCTAACTTTATAAATCATAGCAGCAACAGCAATATCACGAGATGTTGGTAAAAAACGACCATTAAATGCTAGAAAAAAATATATCTTAATAAGTATGAAATATAGATAGTTATAAATGTCGAAAAGTTGTTTTTAAAAAAGACAAAGTAGAGTCATCTCTTCGTTGTACTATAACTATTCTATCAATGATATCTGAAACAAGAAAATACTTACTACATGGTAAACGATTTATTGATCTGGAAGATTCGTTCAAATCAACCTTATTTGTTATTACTGTTGCGGGATTTAACTGCATTGAATCTAAAAAAGAAATATACTAATATTTGAATTTGCTATTGCATTCAGAGTTTCTAAAGAAAATGAAAAAAAACTACTGAAGTTTTTGAGTTAATATCATAAGTAACTAGAACAGTAGAAAAGCCGATCATACCATTTTTTTCATCACAAAATTGTTGAGCATCTGACGTGCCAGTAGTATCTAACAGACATATTGTTTAAAACCAAGAAAATGATAGCTAATGAAAACTTTCTTACTGTTTCTTGATAGATTGGATGGTGAAATTGCTGTTTTCAAATAATTGTTACGCAGGAGATTGTTTCTGCGACGATAATGCGTAGCAGGAGATGGCATCTGCAAAAAACAGCATGTTAAAATTCTTTTCCCGATTTCAGTGAAGCAGCAGTACAATTTGATGATGTTAATAGAAAGACTATTAACAAAATGTGTGAATAAATTTCTCGATTAGTTTAAGAAATTTTTTTTTCAATATCAAAATAATGAAAGGAGAAAATCTTTACCATTAAAACAACTTGTTCAACAGTTTATTCTTTTTATCTAAATCACTACTGTTATTTATCATCTAGTTCTAATTTTTTATCGACAATTTAATCAATCAGAACAAATAAAAAAAAACAATATTCTAATCAAACGTTCTTGAATAAGCATAAAAAGCATCATTTTTATGGTCATTCACAATCAAAATTTTCCATTAAAATTTGTTTTGGTGGTAATGGACCTCGTTGATGTTCAGTATTTGTTTTGCTTTTCGAATATTTCTGATGCTGCTTCTTTGTCGAAGCTGTTGATGAATTTTCTTTATTTTTATTGCGATCAACCAAGTGTCGACTACGAAGCGAAATTGCTCCAGAAAATTCGGTTGGAGAAATGATCTTAGGAGCATGAACGTATTGAACATATTCTATTTAATAAAAGATAAGCAACAAAATCAAGTTGAAGTTATTTTTTCCCGTATAGAAAAACAAGACATACTATAAATGTTATTCATTAATTCAGGATTCATTTTTTTTAACTTTGTGTAGCATTGACCTTTTAAATCAACACCTTTGTAGCAACATGTAATCAAACTATTGATAGTTCTTGACGAGTTAGTACTTTTTGCTTGCTTCAATTCAATTTTCGAGCAAGGAAGTTTATTCCCTAACTAAAAAAAATTCTTTCAGAAATAATTCGTTATTTATATTACTTCGACCGATTTCTCATTTAATTCGGCTTTTCTTTGTTCATATGTATCAACTATTGATTTAAGATAATTGTACGATTCTTCATCTGGTAGACCTGAAAAAATAATTAAGCATTATTGACCACAGAACATATTGAGAAAGAATATTAAATGCAAATTAACACGTACTAATTAAAGTATTACGTAAATAGAACATTTCATCTTGCATAGATAAAACTTTTTCACGTAGTTTTGTGTTTTCTGCAACCAAACTGTCCATAGACGAAAGTTTTTCACGTAAAACTTTGATTTCTTCGATTAAACTATTTATGTCTGTTGATGATGAGGTTACTGAATTTGTTGTTGAACAAGTTGCAGTAATATGTGAAGATGATTGATGTTTACTATTTGAATTTGATTGTTCACCTTGACTAGCACATTTATCAGATGTCTTAAATGCATCACATATTGTAATTGTTGATGCTAATGAAGATGGTGGTTTTGATTTATATTTTGTTGTTTGTTCATCATCGTTTATGTTGTTACTGTTAATTTTTTTTCTCTTTTGTTTTGTTTCTGCTGTTGTTGAACTGGTTGATGATGATGACATTGTTGATATTGTTCGTTTAAATGAAGAAGTACTTTGACGAATTGTTTGAGCAATTTCTTCTGATTCTTCCCGAAGACCAGGAGGAACACTCCATTGATATGTATTCACATGTCCATCATCACCAGCTACATCAAGTCCATAAGCACAACAATCTCTTTTTGAACCTAGAAAATAAATAAAACATTTTATCAGTATGTGAGTACATGTTATATAATGTTCTAAACTGCTATTTCATGAAAAAAATCTATTGATTTTTATAATACCAAAAAATATTTTTTGGAAATAAGTAAAATAAATACAAAAATTTACCTAAAAAAAGAACTGTTCCCCGACGACGTTCACGTTGATAGCCTTCGAAACAGGTTGTGAGACCAATTTTTAATGTAGATACTGATTTTGATCGTTTTGTATCAACAACTGCAAATTGATTGATGTCATCTTCCCATCGAACCAAGCAATGAGAGGCCATTTCAACATGATTTGGCATTTTTAGAACAATGAAATCGATTGATAATCTACGAAAAAAGAGCAACAAAATACCTTGAAAGATATAACTTTCGTTAGAAATCTTAAACGAAAACAAGCTAAACAAAGAAATCGATTCACATTCTCTAATAAACAAACACGATCGTTACAATAAACAAAGTCTTGTATTAAAAAATGCATGTATAGTCGTTAGAAAAATTGATTCACATTTTTTGTTTTAAATATTCTTCATGTTAAGTCACGAAAAGAATAGGTCTTTGTGAAATCTTCTTAATATATGTTTAGAAGAGCAAGAAGAATAGAGTTAAAGAGAGCGCTGTTTCTATGACGAGACCAATGATATATATATATATACATAAATGTAAATATTCAATAAGGTGTCGCTTGCATACAGGACAAAAAAATGAAGTACCCTTTATATAAACTAATGATTCAATCATCAATCTCAGGTGTTCTATACACAACCAAATAATTTTTTTTCTTTTTAAATATGACTGATCAAATTAATAATATTGTTGACTAAAACTCAAACAATTTATAATTTAGCGAACAATAATTTTATGATAACGAAAATAAGGCAAAAAATAATTATTTTTCTATTTTCTATTCTATTTGGTAAAAACAGTTGATGACAAAAACAAGCCGAAGCTCATAATTTTTACAATTCCAAATTCAATAGATCTTTCTTCTGAAAAAATGATATTTGATAATGGATAATTGATAAAAAAAAACTACACCATTGTAGAATCTTGGATGATCAAACAGTCGCGTTTTTAATAATGCAAGTTTCTAACTTTATTATGTTTACGTCATAAATACATGCTCAGATGTGCTGAATTGAAGGTGACAAGGAGCTTTCCTAAACAAGCAACTAGTTTAAACTCAGTTTCATTAAGTTTCTGTAATTAGACTAGACTTGACGGATGTTAAAGATATAACCAACTATTAACGTAAGATGCCATACTCAATTTCTGACTAGTCTGTTTCAGACAGCATATCATGTCTAGTAAAACTGGGTAGTCTTGATTGGTACTCAAGACCTCTTGGAATGGTCCAGATATGTATTTCAAAATTATTAGACTAATCAAGTCCTGCCATTGTATTATCTCATAAGATACTGATTTTAGTTCAGATGTCGACATCAAATATTTAGAACTAGACTTGACTAGTCCTCTGAATATCTTCGACTAGTCCAGCTCTATGATTACCTTACCTCACAAAAAACTGACTAGTCTTGACGTCGATACCAAATATTTGGGACTAAACTTGACTAGTCCTTAAAATGTTTCAGACTAGTCCAGAGATATATTTCAAAATGATTGGACTAGTCCAGTCCCGTCATTGTGTTACCTCAAAAGATACTGACTAGTCCTGATGTTGACACCAAATATTTGGGACTAGACTTGACTAGTCCTCAGAATATTTTAAACTAGACTTGACTAGTCCTCAGAATATTTTAAACTAGACTTGACTAGTCCTGATATTGACACCATATATTTGGGACTAGACTTGACTAGTCCTGATGTTGACACCAAATATTTGGGACTAGACTTGACTAGTCCTCAGAATACCATAGACAAGACTTGACTAGTCCTCAGAATATCTTAGACTAGTCCAGTCCCGTCACTATCTTGCTTTTTAAAATAATGACTAGTCGTGACGACCACATTCAGTATTTTGAACTAGTCAGGACCGGTGCTGTGGACGTTTTGGACTAGACATGTCGCCAGTCTTCTCTTTTTTTTGCTCGCCTGGGAAACAAAACGACTTCTTCAATCTTGCTGTATAGCTAAATAGGCCGCAGCTATATGGTTGGTCAACACCAGAGGTGCAGAATCTACCCGCGTGCGCGTACTGACCGTACGGGAAATTTTTGAAAATTTATCTACATCTAGGGGAATTAAAAAAAAATAGTTTTCTCTCTTAAGAACAAGTTCAGATTGTCAAAAGAATCTTGATTTATTTATATTCGCATCGATAAGATTTTGCATTTCTGTTCTTTCGTTCTTTTGCTTTCATTAAGTTTTGAAAGAGTCAACTGTTTCTTTCTCTTAATGTCAGTATTGTTTACTTGTTCATGCTGATCATTCATCTCGTTACTTCGACTTGTGCATAATAATGAAGCAGAGTGCGTCATTTGTGTTCTCTTTTGGTTTGTTTCCTAATACGATGTCACTACTTGCCGTCTTTGCTCTGTTACTATGTATAGCTGTCATTGTGTATGTATGCATGTGTATGTGCGATGCGTACACAATCACTGCGATGACTAATGTATCGTCACAGGACAGATGACGAACAGAATAATCATTATTCCCAAACAAATATTTTCTGTTCTCTCCCTCTTATATTTTTTCTTTGTTCTCTTTACAATCTTTAGCATATCTTAATAATTGACATGTACCCCAGCAAACATCAAGTATTATGTTTTTATTGTGAATGTTTTGAACGAAAAGATAAAGTAAAGAAACACTAGAAAAAAAACATCTCGAAGAAATATTTAAATTAAATTTTTCAGAAAATAACTTGACTAGGTTTTATTTTCGAAAAGAAACAACCGAAAAACAAGAACAATTACCAATGATGATGATGATACTGATAAACATAGAGAACAACAACAAGCAAATACCATTAGATTTTCTCCCTGCATACTAACCAGAACAACATCAACAATTAACACTGTCACTTCACCTTCGATATCGTCTTTAGGTACACTATTGGTTCCAAGCACTCCATCAAATATAAGTACATCATCAAGTCCAGGAAAAGTTTTAAATCACCAAATTCTATACAAGATCAAGGGATATTAATGACAGAACAACTTTCAAAAACATAACGGACATTACAAGTTCACTCAATGAGTACTTCAGTCATTCGAAAGCAAAAACAATGGTTATTTTATTAAAAAAACAAAGTGAACAGTATCAATTTTGGAAACTTGTTTCTCCTGGCTCAGCTGTTTTAAATCGCTTACGCAAAGTACAAGTGGAAAGATTACCTACACCAAACGATATTGAATAATAAAATTATCATTTTCTCTAAAGTGTGTTTGCCATGTGTGAAGTAGTCGTAATCTTTTTTCTTTAGCATATATTTAGGTCATACCAAAAGTAGTGGCCCAGATACCTTATTTTCGTATAGAAGGCTTGGAGAAACTTTCTTTCTTTATGAACAGATAGAGTCTTTCGCTCTATTTTTCTATCCTATTTGATCACTATGCAACTAATATCATAATAAAATTTCGATAAAAATTGTTTTTTGTTGAAAACCAGCTGATAGCATTTAGATCATAATGGATGTGGCATAAAAAATGGGCACTTTTGCATTTCATTTTATCACCACTTACTAGGTTGTATTAAAAAAGAAAAATATACCAAAAGATGCAGCGTGAAAAGCTCCACAATTTATAAAGGATCGCTTATTTTTGTAGTTGCACTTTTTGTTTTCAAAATCGACAAAACTCGGAGCTACCAAATTTCGACGTTGCGAAAAAGAGGTTCTTTTCTGGTAAAAGACGAATTCAGTTTTTTCTATCTCATCTTCTTATAATTGTTCTTTGTAAATTGTAGAGCTTTTCACGCTGCATCTTGTGGTATATTTTACTTTTTTAATACAACGTAGTAAGTGGTGATAAAATGAAATGCAAAAGTGCCACACCCATTATGACCTAATGCTATCAGCTAATTTTCAAAAAAAACAGTTGTTATCGAAATTTTATTATTATGGTATTAGCTGAATAGTGATCAAATAGGATAGAAAAATATAGCGAGACTCTATCTGTTCATAAAAAAAGAAAATTTCTCCAGGCCTTCTATACGAAAATAAGGTATCTGGGCCACTGTTTTTGGTATGACCTAAGTGTGTTAAACGAGAATAATGTTTTTTCTTTCAGTTTTATAATGAGGAAAGTTTTTGAAAAATTTTTTCCGTCGGGAATATTTTTTATTTTAGCGGCAGATTCTGTACCTCTGGTCAACACCCTTGAACAACGATTAGAATTAATGAATGTCGGTGGGTAACAAGTAATATGTAAAGCTATTCCGGTTTGGAAAAGTTTTCCTTGTATCGAGCAATGATTAAAGACAGCTGTATCCGATATGCTTAAACTTTTTATTGTAATAAATGCACAACTATGTATATACGTTGATCAACAATACATAGGAATAATAATACCACAGTGCATTTAGAAAAAACACTTAAGATAGAACAGGGAGATCGAAAGAAAAAATGCATAAGATAGGATGGGAAAATATACATGACAGAAAGGGGAAAATACATATAATATAGAAAAGAAGAAAATCACGACATATAGAAGAGCACGCAACAGTGATAGATGAAAACAGCTAATTATATTTCTCAAAAAATATCGATGAGCAGCAGTAAATAATGGTGAACACCGATCAATACCAGTTACCGATTTATATGGGCTATTGGTAGCTCAGTTACTAGTTAGCACAGGTTACCAGTGGAACGATTATCGGTCTATACCAATTATCCTATCTATTCCATCCCAAACCGACACGTAATACTCACATCAGCATCTCACATGAAAACCTGTCAAGGGAAAAGGATGACTAATTCGAATTACAAGTAGATTTTGCATTTAATTGTGCCTGATTTCATTGTTCAATGCAAAGTTAATTATTTTTTAGTCTAGAGAAAGACGAATCGACATCAAATGAAAATTATATATGAATTAGTTTTCGAGCAAATTTTGTAGGTGTTTAGCGAATTTTTCGCATACAGTTTCCAATAGAGAAGATATAAATTTGATGATTTATAATTAACGACACGATTTTTTTCTATCTAGATGTACCTCTACACAGAACTTATTCTACTACGTTAGGTTTACTGTGCTTGATCTTCGTTCTCGGCTTTAGCGAAAACTTACAGGAGTACAACTCGAATCATCTATTTACTTTTCCTATAGGTCACTTACTATGCCTGTTGAAATGTTCGATGGATGCTCACATCCTGGTACAAGAAATACGACCGCTTTCAGAG